CCCCCACCCTGCATGGGAACCCTCCCCTGCCCTGCCTGGCACTTGGGCTGTGCTCAGACTATAGAACTGGAGAAGGAATGAACTGGCAGAAGGACTTACCCTGTTCCCATTTCAAGGGACTGGTTGCAGAGTAGTTGCTGCCTTTTGGAGTTAACTGCTTGCAGCCAAGTAAGAGGGGCACTGAAGGGAAGGAGCTGCTCCCCTTTGGCTGCACAGCTGCCCTAGACTGTTCTCCAGTGGGTTTATAGCATATCTTTGGGTTGCCTTGCAGAACATTTTAGTTTGTTTGGTTTTCCATTTTTAAACAGGACGTGAAAAGCAACAAGACAGTTCTTCATTACACAGTCCAGGATGGGAACATCACCCTGCTCAGATACTTCTTGGAAGTGAATGCTTTCAAATCCAAGGACTTTGTCAACAACAAGGTGAGTCAGGCTGTGTGTGGACAGGATTTGTGTGCACATCCACAGGCAGAGGAGATGCTGAGAGCAGCGTGAGGGTTGTGCTGTGGTGGGAGCCTGTGTGCAGAGAGAGGCATCAGGACATCTGTGAGGTCCTGCAGAAGCCAGTTATTCTCTTCCTATCTATGTTGCTTTTTCTGGAGTGAAAGAGCAATAGTTTGTCAAGCTGGACTTTTTTTTCCTTTATTTTTAAAACTTGAAGCTGAATTTTCTGGTAAATAGACCCTTCACCTGAAAGCAGTGCCTGCCTTAGCTCTGAGTTATACCATGAAGCACAGGCCCCTCTCCCAGCAGGCAGAAACTGTCAGAATGAGAGGAGGAGGAGACCAAGGAAGAGGAAGGACCTGGGAAGCAGTTACTTGAGTAGGAATGTGAACTTTATTAGATTAGGCTGTTGACTGAGCAAACAGATCTTCGATGATGCAATGGTTTGCTTTTGGCAGCAACATAATACTGAAAGAGAGCAGTTTAGGGCAGCCATTTATCAAGTGATCTCTCCTGTCAAACATGCCATCCAGAGGAAGGATGAAGCCTGTTTCAGTGGCTGGCATTGCCAGGTGGGTGAAGCCTGGGGAAACAGCTCTCTGCAGCAAGGCAGCATCCTTGCTGACCCTGTGGGAGGCTAGGAACTGTGGCAAGTAGACTGCCTGTGACTCTGGGGACTTTAAACACTCTATACAACCCTGCTTGCTGAGCTGGAGTTTGCTAATGCTGGTTCCTCAGTGCAGGTTTCTGGAGGCACAGCCATTCCTGGGTTTTATAAAGCAAGCTAGAAACCTTCCCAGTCCTCCTGTTGTCACCCATCCCCTTGCTGCCCCATACTTCACCTTGGAGCAGATACCAAGCAGTGACACTATCTTCAGGATCAGCTTCACCCATCCTCCTAAGCAAAGATCCTGACATTCCTGTGCCTTAGTTGAGACATCACTCTTCACCATCAACCAGGGCTTTGGCTCTTGGCTAGCTGCACCCTCTCAGCAGGACCAAGTGGGTGATTCTGGGTGCTTCTGCAGAAGGGAACCCTTGAGCAGGGACTGACAGAGGGAGGAGAGGACAAGGCTAGGTGTCCTTGTTTTGTGAGGGTCAGTGCATTAGCCTTTCAATACTTTCAGTGCAAGCCTTGCTTGTCCTTCCTAGAGCATCTGCATGGCTTGTGTCCATAAGAAAGGATTTGAATGTTTTCTGTCAGCTCAGTTGGTCACTTGGGAGGCAGATGCTGGACAACTTCATGGTTTTTTTCCCCTACAGATTCCAGCTGAACTGGAGGAAACCTGTTTTTCTTTGTGTGTGTGGGTAATAACACTGTTTCTATCTTTCTGTGCAGTGAAGGGACTGTTGCTGCCTTTTCAAGACATTCCTTCTGTATCTTTTAAAACCCACCAGGCACGTGCTAGCATGTCCAATGGAGTCTGCTGTTGTCTCTTGATCACAATCCTGTCAGAGCCTCCTCCTAGTGTGATAGGATCGCTTGGAGCCTTTACTCTTGTTGTTGAGCTGTCTGGGACAGTGAGAAATGTGATGGCAAAGTTGTCTGATACCCATCCTGGCTTTTTAGCTCTTGAAAGTATAAAGACAAGAAGAAAATAGGGATGCCTGAGTCCATGTTTTGGCTTCCCTGGCTCACCTACTGCTTGCTGTGGCTCTCTCATTCCAGATCCATTTCCTTGAGGATTTCACAATGAGAAGAGCATTGAGACCTTTGAGATTTTTTTTCACCTGATGCTGTGAACCATGATCTCCCATAAGCCCTGTTAAAGTCAGTGAAAGGCTTCAGGACCAAGCACTGTCATAGTGACTTGTTGTCTCAGTCCTGTGCCTGGATTTAGAAGCTGTCAAGTGCTTCTGCCATAAAGATGTGGCAAACAAATGCAGATGCTTCCATTTTAACGAGAAGTCCTGTAAAGAGCTTGTAACTATCCTTTGACTCCAGGGAATGATAAAATTGACAAGGATCTTCTTGTTCAGGGCTTGTAAAACATGTCTTGTTGGAGAACAGCAGTTAAGATTTTGCTCTTCTGTTTTGTGCTACAACATCCCTTATGTTTCAGTGGTGAAAAGGTCCTGAAAATCATATATACTCCTTTTAACACCAGAATAGTAATAGCCATTACAATTTTTGTCCAACCATTCCAAGTTCGTGACAAATAAATGCTCATTTAGAAAGAAAAAAAAAAATCTATATAGACAGCTGCTTAAATGATACTTCTTGCAGACTAAAAATACCTTGCCTTGTGCATTTGCCTGTTAGGTTTTTCTCATTTAAAACCGTTACCAGTCATACCTGACTAGGCAGGGGCACAGATTTCTGCACGGTCTGCTGAGACCAGAGTTTCTCTGCAGCCCGTTGTGTCGTGCTCCATCCTGCGCCCCCGCGTGGCTTCAGCACAGACACTGTCTGTCTGTCCTCTGCAAATCCTCTCAGGGGGAAACCTGGAGTTGGAGACGCTTGAGGAGGCCCCTGAGAGGACTCTGCTTAGTGGCAGCACCGTGAAAATAAAGCCAAGCTCTACCTTCATGCAGCACTCTGGGAAGGAACCAGGAGAAAGTTTGGAGCCCAGCATAGTTTAGTTTGCCTGCTGCAGCACAAAGCCACGTTTAGTCCATGGTACACAAAGACACTGAGGGACGTGGGCTGCAGGACCTCTGGGGTGGCTTGGTAGCTTTCAGAGCACCTCTTTTTAATGCCATGAGTTGGGTCACCTGGAAGGATTTGCACAGTCAAAGGTGCCTGGTGTCCTAGAGATCAGTTTGAGCCTTTCATATAACCTAGACACTCTTTAGTCTGGCTTTCCAAGGTCTCTTTGCAACTTTCTGTCACTTGCAAGTGATGGTGAAAGGGATTAGTGGAGCTGTGTGGAGCACAGATGGGTCTGCTGTTGTTGAACCTTGCATAGTCCGTGTGTGAAGGGTTACACAGCATCAAGAGTTTTGTGTCCCTTCAACTGATCTAAATGTTTCCCAGTCAAATAGTTCTAATGTTTCCCAGTAAAATAGTTCTTTTTATTTCTCCTGGATAAACTTGTAAGTTAAATGGCTTCTGGACATCTCTTTTTCAAAGAACTCATCAGCTCCTCGCTTACCTGGGGTGCAGCAGGGGTTTGCAGAGTTGCTGACACAAGGCTGTTTGTTAGCTGTACCCAAAGCACCAAAGCCTCCCAATTTGTAGTGCTCTGTCAGAGAGAAAAATCTAAATCTGCAAATCTCCTGCACGAGCAGCCAAACGTAGGAGAAATGGTGCAGGGATACTGCAGCACCTCAGAGTGAGTAATCGTGCCAGGCTTCTTCAGCTCTCATTTCTACATTTCTATGACAATTTTGGGTAGGTGTCCCAGCTCCTCAGGAAGTTTATCCTTTTCTTTCTCTTTCTCCCACTGCATTAGGCACATGGCAACACAGCTCTGCATATGGCAGCTGCCTTGCCTCGTGACAAGAACCAGAAAGAAATCGTCCAGTTGCTCCTTGACCACGGGGCGGACCCGAGCATCCGAAATTTGGACAACGACCAGCCGATCCACATGGCTCCTTCTGGAAAAGCTGGGGATCAGGTACACCACCCACCTTGCTGCTGCTTCCTACACATTCCTGTGCACACCACAGCCCTCTGTCCTCATCAGGGGAACATATGACATAGGTCTGACACTGCAGGGAGGTGGGCGTGGAGATTCCCCACTGCAGTACGTCTGTGATGGAGCAGCACAAAGAAGTCATGAGCTGATGATCTAAATACATCTGGGGAGCTATCAAGGTGTAGTGCTTTCATAAACTTCAAGGGATGATCAGGCTTCATGCCTAGAGGTGTGAAAAGGCTCCTGGAGCTCATTGCAGTCTCTGATATGTTTATGTGTGTATTTAGTTACACACATATATGTCTCTAAGTGTGGGGGTATGTATTGGGGTGTCTCCATGCACAGTTTCAGAAGGTACATGATGAACTTCTGCATTTTCCTGCAGGTTAGGCACTTGCTGAAGAAAGGGAAAGTTGCCTCTGCATTCGTTTCCTGTCACCGAAATGCCAGATCCTAGGTCCTGCAGTGTCTGGAGTGGCTTCAACTTGTTGATTGTTCAACTTCAGCTTGTTGATTGCATGAGGCCTCTTGGAAAAACTAAGAGGCTGCTTAACTAACACATCCCTGCTCCTATAGTCTTTAAACCAGCGTGGGGTGACAGTTTCTCAACTTGTGGATCATGAGTAGCATGTAGATATCAGAAGATCAGATCAGAAATGCTTGAAAGCTTTATTTTCTCAGCAAAAAATGCTAATAAACCTCAAGCCTTGCTTGCAGGCAAGGAGGCAAGCAAAGCAAATGGCTGTTAGATAGTAACAACAGAACTAGAGGGAATGGGGCAAAGCTGGCAGTGGGCAGATTCAGGCTGGATGTGAGGAAGAAGTTCTTCCCCATGAGAGTGGTGAGACCCTGGAATGGGTTGCCCAGGGAGGGGGTTGAGGCCCCATCCCTGGGGGTCTTTAAGGCCAGGCTGGAGGAGGCTCTGGGCAGCCTGATCTAGTGGGAGGTGTCCCTGCTCATGGCAGAGGGGTTGGAACTGGGGGATCCTTGTGGTCCCTTCCAGCCCTGACAGATTCTGATCTGTTTTAGCAGAGTAATTTGGAGCCCTGGTGGCTCGGTGGTTGGACTTGATGATCTTGGAGGTCCCTTCCAACCTAAAGGATTCTATGATTCTATAAATGTTTGAAGTACAGCCAGCTTTTAATTTGGTGGCCACTGAGACCCACAGTGGTGTTGGAACACAAGATGGTAGTTTGGGTGTAAAAAGTTGAGAAATACTGCTCTGAGACATGCTCCAACTGTACCTCTTGTGTCCTGCACAGAGGAGCTGGCTGAAATGCTGAAGCCTTTGTGATGCACAATTACCTCTGTTGCTCCTGCTAGCCTAGGAATGAAGGACACTGAGGGGAGGAAAAAGACTGGATGCAAGAGGTGAAACCAGCCTGGGGAGCCATCCGTGGCTGTGTTTCACCTGAGTGAATGGACATCTGAACCCAAGGGCTCCAAGTGAGGGTTCCTGCAAGCTGCTCCCACCCCGTTTCTCAGCACTTTGTGGAAGAAAGCTGGAGCAGCTGCCCATTGCCCCAGTCTTTCCCCACACTGCCAGAAGAGAAAAGAGATGTTTGTCAGAGCAAGGGCACAAGGCAGGTCCTCAGCAGTGTAGGTTTGTGTGCCCCTTGAGTGCTTCCCAGGGAAGGCATTCCTCCTTCAGACATCCAGCCCAAGCCTCCAGCTCTGATGGCAACAAACAGCTCTGGAAGCACCTCAGAGTGGGGAGCTGCACCCTCACTAATGCCTGTAGAGGAGAGAGAGGCTTTATTTGGGTCTTCAGCAGCTTTTAGGCAAGGAGAGGGTAGAAAACCTTTGAGCCACGTGGGCCTGCACGCAGCAGAATTTGGGTGCAATGTGTAAGTGTTCTCCTATCCCCACTGTTATGGAAGGGGAGGTTTGAATCGAGTTTTCTTATTCTTTCTGTGAAATGATTTGTAAATTGCTGTGCAATCAACTGGTGTCTCTGCCAGGTCAATAGGATTGAAGGTAGATGCCTGAAGGGAGTGAAAGCCACGTTTTGACAACCCTTCCACAGAGGGTGTCTCATCCTCAGCACAGTCTGAGTTACAGTTCCCTGACTTCTCAGCGTTGCACAAGTTGTTTTCTCTAAGAGGACTGAACAATAAGATGAAGGGCAGAGATCTTAAATCACTGCAGTGACTTCCTTGATCACCTGCTGACTAACTCAGTGAGATGGGGTTTTCTAAAGCACTTGTTATTCTTGCAAACCTGGACTGTTTAAACAACTGTTCAGCAGATTTGAACAAAAGCTCTTAAGAACTGCAGAGATCTTCTTGACTTTCTCAGCCCTCCTCCTGTTTTGTTATTGCTTCTCACTACATCATATCTACAAACCTGCCAACATCCGCTGACAAAAAAAAAGCAGACTGGTATTTGCATAAATTTGCATGAATTTGCATGTATCTGGGCATAGGCCAGCAAGACCATGTGCTTTTTTACTTTGAAGGGATGTTGAAACAAGCCCTGAATCGAGTGATAACTGCATTGGTGAGTTAGTCCTGTGTGTGGAGACAAAATGGTCAATAAAATACCAGTTTCTTGTACTTGCTAGCAACAAAACTGCAAAACTGTGACCAGCAGGTGACACATGATGCACAAGGGAGAATGTAAAAAGCTTTTTGCTGTTCTGAAATGTCTGTGAGATGACAGAAGTCCTTTTGCAGCAAGTAAAAAAATACATGATCTGTTTTCTAGTGTAATTTATCTCTTTATTGTTTTCATCTGCCTGCTCTTGGATGTTTAATACAGAGCAATGTCAATGTGACTTGTAGTCTGTAAATATCCAGAATATCAGGGAAAATATTGCTTTGGGGAGGGATGGATGTGGCTGCATTCAAAGCATCCCTCTGGCAGCCTGTGTGGGGTGAGATTTGCAGAGGGAAGAATCCATGACTGGCCGGGAAGGATTTGTTCTTTCTACAGGCACATCTGTGTCAGGCTCCCAAAGCTCATACCTCAGAGACCTGCTCTGAAGCCAGCCACAATCAACAGGCTGGTTTGTGTTGTCTTTGGATGAGATCCATGAGACAGTTGGAGGCTGCTCCTTCCTCGTGCATGTAAAGCACCTTTTCCTTCCCCTGTCAAGCCAGCCTGTGTATCAAAAAATCCCTTTTTAAGGCTCAGAGGTGGCCTGAGAGTTAAGCCTTCTGTGCTTGGGTAAATTGAACTGATTTGAGCAGTATCTTAGTTCACAGTTAACCCCTCAAATTTTTATGACTGTTTCAGGGTAAATGTTCCTTTTATAACCTTAGTGGTGCTGGCAGTGTGTGGTACCCCTTTTATTTGCACAGTTTATCTCTTCCTACCCGTGCCTTTGAAAAAGCTGCTAATAACAAAGGCTTGTTATCACCAAACAAATGCTCTGAAGTGGCACCATGGAAAAGCCACCAGTAGGCTGGCAAGGAACACTTTTTTTGATCAAATACGCTGTGCAACAGGTAAAGAATCTGAAAATAAAACCCTTTTATTTTCTTTATAACTGCGGGTGACTTCTGGAGTTATTCATTTGGGAAGAATGGAGAGATCCTTGCTTTTGTGTAACCACGTGTTTATATAGGCTAGCAGGACTTCACCTGCCAGGAGCTGCTGAAGTGCCAGCTTTCAGGAGTGCTGTGCCAGCTCTGTTGGAGATAGGACCCAAATTACTTTCCTTTAACCCCTCCTTTTTTTCTTTTTTTTCCCTTTTTTCTGTCGAGGGAGGGGGAAAGTGTGTGTTCCTCATAGCCAGAAAATGCACAATCAATCTTTGAACAGTCCTCCTCTGCTGTTTTTTTTTCCCCTTTCTTGTGTCAACAGTGAGCAAGCTTTTACTTGCAGCCTGGATGTCACCTGGAGCTATTGACACAGACTTGGGGAAGCAGTGTCTAAAACATGTTTTCAGTCCCTGGAGTGGGAGGTTGTAAAACAGCTAAAGAAATAGGAAAAAGCTGCAAGGGATGGAGGACAGCACTAGTTGCTTAATGGAAGCTGTTAAGGGTCTGGAGATTGGAGTGCATAGAAGCATTTTTCTGGAAATACCTGTGTCCAGCACTGCAGCTGATGATTTCCAGAGCAGCAGGAGGCTGTTAAATATCTGCTGTCTTTAAGAACACAATCTCAGGTCCATCCCAGGACCTCAGCCACCCGTGAGCCCTGGAAGTGTAGAAGCTTGGTGGTGGGACCAGACCACTTCAGCAGACAGCTTCCCCCACTGGAGGAGTGCTTTTTTTTGGCTAGGTCAGGCAACATCCAAGGAACAGGAGTGAGAATGGGATGTAGGGTCGTTTGTGGTGCCCATGCTCACGCTGCCATCCCTAAGTCATGCCTAACCAGTGCCATAGGTTCAGTGGTGGGCACAGACTCTCCCTTGCACACCAGTCCTCTTTGGAGATGTGGTGTAACTACAATAAATGTGTAATCTGCTGATAACAGATTCAGATATCTGCCTGATGGGGGGGTGAGATAGATGGGACTGTGCTAACCAGTGCCATAGGTTCAGTGGTGGGCACAGACTCTCCCTTGCACACCAGTCCTCTTTGGAGATGTGGTGTAACTACAATATACTGATAAATGTGTAATCTGCTGATAACAGATTCAGATATCTGCCTGATGGGGGGGTGAGATAGATGGGACTGTGGTGTAGACTGGGATACTTTTAGCCTAGCTGTAAGGTGTGTTCATGTGAGCACCCTCCTTGTGGAATGCATACCTATCATTTTCACATGCACAAGAACCCCTCTGGAGGCTGCACGAGAGGCTTATTTCTCATTGAGAAATTCTCATTTCTCTTATTTCTCATGAGGGTGAGGATGGAAGCTTGAACTAATCGGCATTATATAAATATTTTTTAAAATGTCATTAAAAAATGTTACTCTTAAATCCTCATAGATTTCACAGAATGAGGAAATAGTGGTTCTTTTTTTTTTGGTATAATGAAGGTAAATCTCCCTAGTTGCCAGTCAGATATCTGTGTGGGTAATTTCAGCTCTGGGGAGAGAAAAGCTTTTCAGGTCACTGTAGAAGTGTCTGAGAAGGTGAGCATACAGCTAGTTGAATTATGTATTTGTCTTCACAGGTGTAGTTAGGTGGTTTTTTTTTCATCTGTGTTGGATTTGATATGAAGAGATGCTTTTTTTCTTTCCAGTCTGAGTGCTCAGCTGAGAAACTGGTGGCTTGGCAGTCTGCCTTACCAACTGCTATTAAAAGGAGGTGAGGCACAGTCTTAGAAAGGTCTGAGTTGATGCAAGGAAGAGGGAATCCTCAGGTAACTTTCCCACTATGTACTTTAAAAAAAGGAAAATCATTTAGCTCCTGTTGTGTTGATTAATGCTGAGGTGCAGAAAACCTGGTATCAACAGACCAAACTGTACAAAGGTTTGCCAGACTACATCAGCATCTCACTGCAACCCTGCCTGCACAGGGGAGCTGGTGCTGAGCAGCAGCCAAAGCAGCTTGGCATGGGATTCAACCTCTGTGCAGGCCTGAGGGGCCTTTTTGGCACATGACCCACGGGCTAAGCCCTGAGCTTGCATGGAAAACAGGGGTTTTCCTTTTCTGAGAATATTGTCTCAGAAGCAGTGGCTGAGAAGTTGCAGGTCCATCTCAGTGGGGTGCTGCCCAGCTTTCTCTGTGGAGATAGAGCTGGGTGCTGAGATGCCTTTTTATCTGCTGGAAAGGGTAAGTGAGACCCTTCCTGCTGCTCAGTGATTGTTCCTTGTGTAAGCTGCTTATAGCCTCTCTTCCTCACCTTTGTGAGGACAGGGATGGGACCCTGGATCATTAGCAGAAGAGAAAAGCACTGACATTGAGCACACGAGGAATAAACAGGCTTCAGCATGCATACTAAATTATTTATTTGTATCAAAACGAGCTGGCTTCATGACATGTTTGATAAGGCAGCTTAGGATTTCTTTAGAAAACAACAAAACCAGGAAAAAAAAAACCCCAAACCACCACAACAACAAAACACTTCTGACCATAGAAGACAGGAGGAACAATGTAGTGACAGCATGATGTAGAAAATGAGTAGTGAACAATAAACTGTGTTAGGCAGCACGACTTTGCATAGTTCATGGGCAATTAATCTGATTTGGATACAGTGGATGTGTAAAACCACAGTCCCCATTAGCTATAGCAGATGTCACAGTTCCTATCCCTCCTGAAGAAGTCATCAGCTGCAGCCAGGGGTGGTAGGTAGTCCAAGCAGTCCGTGCTGGGACAGGAGAAATACTGGGGGACCCTGTTGTCCACAATCTGGGAGCCACAGGCTGAGCAGCAGCAAGCAGAGGTGGCGTAGGGGGAGGGGGTGTGGCAGGACCACTCCTCTGCAGGGTGGCCATAGGTCTTGGTGTCCAGAGTGGAAGGTGGGCTGTGGGTCGGTGGGGTGAAAGGAGGTAGCTGAGGAGGAGAGCAGCTATGGTTTAGTGGGCTGGGCACATCAGCTGAGCTGGGGGATCCAGCAGCCTAGAGTTTGGGAGAGAGAGAAGAACACCAAACAGAACAGGATGTTTCAGGTTGTCCTTTGGGGAAATGTGGCCAGCAGCCAGAATTTCCAGGCCACTGCCTTTCTCAGGAGGGTCTGTCTACCCAGGGAGATGGTTTGGCCCTTGGAAGTCCTAAAGCCAAGAGGTGGTTCCTGTGGCATTACTGTTAATAAGGAACTTCTCTGCAAGTTAGACATCTGCTAGGAGGAGCTGGGCTGTTCTTTGCAGAAAATCTCCAGGATCTGTAGAAGGGACATCCCTTACTCTGCAGCCTCTCTTGAGGTTTGGCTGGGCCTCCCTGCCCTCTGCTTCCAATGGCAAACCATGCAGGAGCCCCCAGGAGCAGCCTGCACTGTTGTGGCCGTACCCATGCCCCCCAAAGCAGCCACATTTTCATGTCAGCTTGCTGCTGTTCTGCCCCAGGACGTGACTCTCTTCCCCATCTCCCCTCTGGGTGCTTCCCTGGGACACAATGCTTACCAGGCCCTGGTTAAAGCAGAGTGGGACTGGCTGGAAGGCGTCTGAGGTGTAGTGTGAGGACGTCTGGAAAGTGTTGAAGGCTGGGTCTAAGGGCACATCTGTCTGAAGGCAGGAGTCTACCAGCTGCTCCAAATAGCCAGGGCTTTCTTCACAGGAAAGGCAGTTTGAAAACTGCCACGATGGACAATAGTTGGGAACAGAAGAGATGGGTTCTGCATCAAAAGGTGCTAGGAGAGAAGGTAAATCAGACAGTAGATTATTCAGTATGTCTTCACAAGCAGCAGGTGTTGCCCCAGATGGAGTTTCAATACTTTCATATGTTCAATAGCCCTGTGAATTTTGACAAGGAAAAAGGCCCTTCAAGTTCAGGGTGAGTTTTCTAGGGAAGCAGACACCAGGAGGAAGATGCTCCAAAGCATGTGTGTAACTTGGTGCCCTTCAGTCACCTTAGAAATCTCCAAAGCTCTTTAAGTACTGCTGGAAACTCTTCTGGCTCCAGTTACTTTGGACAGGGATCCACCTGGAAACTCCCTCAGACTCTTGACCCTCTGTCCTCCCTTCAAATGTCAACTGTTTACAGAGCTAGAAGCTTGCCATGCAGTGATTAACACTTCACAGCTTGGCAGATGGCTTGTGCCTTTGCCTCACCCAGACTCCTGATGCAGGGTAGCTACATCTGCAGGAAGAAGGGGATAACAGCAGAATAATTTGCTCTTTTATCCTCCAAACAGCCAGACAGGAGACAAACCTCTGAGCAGACAAAATGAAGCAGGTCAGTGTCCGTGTATCAGTGCTACTGGCAAAAGTGCAGGTTCCTAGAAAGCTCCAGTGTGCTTGCTGGGGGTATGAAAGCTCACAGCACATCTGACTTTCCAGAATTATTGCCTTCTCATGCTAGGCTCTAATCTGGCTAAAAACAAAGCAGTGTCCATGTGGAGGGGCACAGCTCCAAAGGCAAGGGGAGGGTTGCTCAGAGTCATCACTGCCTGTGGGTTGAAGGTGGAAGTGTTTAGCTGGATGTGGGGAGGAAGTGAGAGGCACCTAAAATACATAAACAGATGGAGACTTTCCAGCCTGAAAGAGCTTTGGAATGTCTCACCTTTCTGTATTAACATAAGCAAATGGATTCCCAAATATTGATGATTTAATCATTTCCTTAGCCATACAATGTATATATTCACACCTGTCCAACCTTTTAGGTCTCTCTGCTTTGGCTGCAGACCAGTGGAAGGATTTGTGAGCCTCAGGTGTTATTCCCCCATGCCTCTCCCCCTTCCTTGGATATTCACACCCAGGAGGAAGAAACTGTGTTGCTGAAAAGCTGACAATTCTCTCACTCCTATGGATGCTGTCAGGAACTCTGCTGGAGCTCAGCAAAGTGTTCCAGCATGATCTAACCCTCTAGCTCCAATCTGACCTGCTGAATGCAGCCTGGAGGAGGTGATGCCAGCAGTGTTATTCCCCAGGGTGTGAGCATCCCTTCTTCTTGCTGTGAGGAAATAAACTGCACAAATGAGAGCGTGTGAGCGTGCTCCTGAATGGAGTAATATGTACCCTGCTGGCCTCACGGCATCCTCATCTGCATTTCACCGGCTCCTTTCAGGTGCTGATTGGCTGCATTGCCGGTTATCTGGTAGTGCTTAGCCAAGGCATTACCAGAAAGGCTCTGGGCTGTAGGAAAAAATGGGAAGGGGATGGGAAAGGAGACGTGGATGGGCTTTGTACCAACCTGGGTGAGGAGGAGACACGGACTCTGAAAACTGGATGCTGTTGCTGCTGCCCCAAGAAACCTGACCAAAGAGAAGGGAAGAGGAGGAATTGTAGGCACTGTAAAGCAGAGCATTCTTCTGTATGCTGAGGTAAGTCAGGATTTCACTTCAACCTATTTATGTAAACCTTATTTACCTCATGGCTGTGACATGGAAAACTTCTCCAGCACTGATGGAACAAGATTAAAGTGCATAATAGGATTTTTCCCTGAGCACAAGACCAACCTGTTGTAAAGTCCTTGATACAGCACCTCTCTAGTGTACTCTTCCTGCTGCTTTATTACTGTTAATTGGGCAGGGATGTAGCTGCCTTTGAAGCTAACATGTTAATTTCTGGGATTATGAATTCCACAGCGGAGAGATGCCGAAGAATTTGAAGGAATGAATGACTGAGAATTGAGTAGATCAAAACTTGTAGTAATAACTCTTGAAACATGACCTAGGACAATTGCCCATGGCTGGACATAAGATTGGGTCGCTGTGCTTGGTGTCATTTCAGAACCAGCTCTGACATTGCTTCCCACTGTACCACAGCTACGTGCCTCTATGAAAAGGGACAGTCTCACTTTCTAAGGGATGCTGGAAGCTGAAGCAGAGAGAACAATCTGTTCTAACAACCTGACCTACCAGAGGGGAGAAATCCACGCCAAAAGTAATGGGAGTTTTGATGCCTGTTGTTTGGGGCAAGGGTTTTGCTCTGCAAATACAAATATTGGGTTATTTTTCCTCAGTTTTGATTCATACAGACTTGCACGTTGCTGCCTTTGTTCAAATTGCTCTTGAGTTAGTGGCTTATTTCCCTTGCAAGAACTTCTTAGCACATCCCTGTGCCTTTAATTCATTAAACAGTGGCTACTCTGGGATGAAGGTGCCTGTAGGACTAATTTTCCCTTGGGCTCTGCATGTGTAATGATGCAGGCAGAGCCACCTTTTGCAGATGACAAAGGTAACCTGCACTGCTGCTCCTCACTTTTTCCTGTGTGGGCAAAACAAGGGCTGTGTAAACTCCCTGTGGGGAGCAAAAGCCAGTTCTACTCAGCCCTGTCACGCCTGGCTGCAAGGAAGAGGCTCCTTCTGTTAGGACTGGAGAGGAGAAGGGACCCTGCACTTCCAAAGCCTAGCAGCTTCCCTCACTCAGGACTCTGCTTGTGCCTTGCAGGCTGATCAGCTTTTTGTGCAATCAGCTGCCATGAGGTGCAGGAGGTGGGAGGTGAAACCTGAAACACATCCAAAGCTGTAATGTCACGAACCAGGAAGAAGTAATGATTTACCAGCTCTTTTATGCAAATCCATAAAGTGGCTGCAGCTAGAGGACTCCTAGACTGGGGGAGTGAGAGAGGGAGAGCATACACGTGTGTGCACACACGCAGCTCTCCATCCCCTTGGTTAGAAGGGATGGGGCCAGGAGCTGCTGAGGTGGTCTGAAAAACTCTGGAGACCTGAATTCAGTCAAGCATGCTTGAATATTATGCTAAAGAACCCTAAATTCAGTCAAGCACACTTGAATATTAGGCTAAAGAACCCTAAATTCAGTCAAGCACGCTTGAATATTATGCTAAGGAGCCCTAATGGAGCAGGATGGAACTTTTCTTAAAGGGTCTTTGCCCATGCCTTGTTTTTGTCCTTTCCACTAGACAAAATTTGGGGCTGTTGTTAAGTCCCAAATTCCCAAACCCCTTCCACTGCCTGGCAGCTGCTGGAGGCACTGTACCTTAGATGCCTTCATTTCTTGCCTGATTTCACTGGATGAGAGAAAGTCTTCAGGGATAAGGGGTGGTTGAAAGCAGCCTCTTGAGGGGCTGGGACTTGTGGAAAAGGGGGGATTTGGTATGTCAGAGCTTTGCAGTGGTTGCTCCTCAGAGCTGCACAGGTCAGGTGGAAGGCATGCCCTGGGCAGATGCTTCCCCTGATACTACAAACCACTCTGGCACATGCTTCAGCCCACATTTCACACGGGGAGCTGTTCCTGTGATAACTGTACATTGGGCTGAAATTTGCCCCTGTGGCCCTTCCAGCCCAGAGGGATTTCTGCAGCACCAGCTCTGCTTTCTCCCTGCACTAATGGCTCCATCGCTCACCTGCTCAGAGCACTGCTGCAGTGACCCTGCCTGAACGTTCTCCCCCATCCTGACTAGCCAGCTACACAAAGACTTTGGCAAACTCCTCAGCCCAGAGATTACAGCCTTGGCAAAAAAAAGGTGAAGGGAGAAGAGACAAAGCAGATGCCAAAAGGTTTGTACTCACCGCTGCACCGGTTGCTGCTTGCCGTGCTCTTCTTTGCTGCAGCAACTCCTTGACTGTGATTTTTACCCTAACACCTTGATACACCTTGGGCTTGCCTGAAAGAATATGTGGAAAAACACTTTACAAGGCGGGAGACTTTCAGAGCACACAGGAGGTTTTCAGGCATGGAGTCTCCTTAGAGTTAACATGGTTAACTGGTCACAGTTATGTCACTTGTAATTGCAGTTTAGAGCCCTCGTTAACACCTGCTATTCAACCTTGTGACAAGCAGACAGGTAGGAAAAAGTTGGTGCTGATTGTATTTGGTAATCCTATGTGTTTTATTCTTTTCTATCTCCTCCTTCACCCTCCAGGCGTCCTAATACCAAGCTCCAGCTGGTGCTACTGTTGAATTTATTTACATTCCTATCATATTTACCACTCCTGGGACCTGAAAATAAATGTGGGAAGCATTTCATCCGGCAGAAGAAGACCAGGAATAAAACAATGAAAATATGTGGGTTGATATTCAGAGGGCCACACGAAACATAAATAAAAGGACTGCTTTCATGAATCACTCTTTGCAAAGCCTAGATTCTCTCTTTATTTTGCTCTTCCTGTACAACTCCCATTTATTTTCAACAAGCATTTAGAATGTCTTTAATTCAGCCCAAACAAATCAGCAATTAGTCATTACCTGATGAGAGACTTTCAGTACAGGAAGCAGTGAAGGATTTACCTATTCTGAGAAATCACTTTCACTTGCTGCACTCAAGTACTTAAAGCCTCTGGCAGCTCTGTTTCTGTCCTAACTTTCTGCTGTTATTTGCATCCAGTAGCAGATCTCACCACACCAGCATTGTCTCATCCTGCAGCGAGCTGCTCCCCACCAGAGGCAGCTGGTTGCAGGTTCCCTGTCCTTGCATGCAGCAAGATGACAGCACTGGATTTGTGGGTCCCAACAAATCCCACACTGTAGACACCATCCTCTTTTTCTACAACCTCTCCCCATCGCCAGGGACCACACAGCACCCTCACTTTTGTACCTGCCCACCCCCAGTCCTGCTGCTGGGGTTGGGGACATGCTCTGACAGGCACATGTGCCCCTCCAGAGAGGCTGAGCCAGGGCTGCCCCGAGGGGAGTTTGCTGAGCTATCCTCTCAGCACCTGGGGATTACTTAGCTCCTATTTTTTATATTCTGGTTTGTACTCAACAAACTGAAGAGGGGGAAAAAGGAGGGGAGGGGAAGAGTAGGATTTAATGAGAACACCTTGTCACCAGGCATCCCTACAGCCAGGGAGGGCCCTGAGCCAGCAGCCCCTTCTGCCAACCTGGCTCCCAGGTGGCTGGGCAGGGCTGGGGGCTACACTACGTGCGACTTAAAGACCAACCAGCAGGTGAGGTGTGGACACGTCTAAAAGCCAGGGGCTGGCTCGCAGGCAGAGGACGGTGTCTCTTGATCCTGC